AACACACACATCTGTTTCTCCAGCCTTTGCAATCTCTTGTGATGTTCCAGGATCCTATATCCAACTGCCTTCTAGACATCTCACACTTGCCAATGATATGCCCTGCAAGCATGTTAAACACAGGTCCAAAGTTGAACTCATTCTCTTCTCCCTCATACCTTCTTCCTCTTCTCTTTTCCCACTCACTACCCAGAAACCTATGAAGCATTCTAACATTCTCACTCTCCCATATCTTTTACATTCAAACAGTCACAAAGACCAGCAAATTCTCCCTCATCTAACTTTTCCTAAACATTCTCACTTCTCTATTCCCACTACTTCCACCCTTATCTAAGCTTTCAACCTCTCTTATCGATACTAATGCACTGTCCTTGAAAGCTTCCAATCTTGCCATGTCCCCACACCCAACCCCACTCCACCTTCAATCTACCCTGCACACTGCTTTCAGTGATCTTCCATGACACTCACAATTCTTCAGTGGCTGACTACTACACATGGCATAGGAAGTGTACCCTGAACTGGCTATCCAGTTTCATCTCCTTTCACTCCTGACCTTGTCCTTCACACTCTAATATAACTTACCTACATATAGCGCCCAGTACACACTATGTTCTCGTAATGCCACACAACTACTCAGGCTGTTGGCTTTACCTAGAAATGCTTTCTACTGCTTATCAACATGTCCGCTCCTACTCAGTTTTCAAGTCTCAGCTCAAACACAACCACTACTAAAACCCTTCCCTGGTATTGCAGGCAGAGATCAAGAGCTCTTGTTAGATTTCATTTGCACTTGTACCTACCTCTGTTATAGCAAATAGCATACTGTATTTGAACTACTGGTCAAGATATCTGTAGTCCTATTAGACTATAAGATCCTTGGTCAAAGACAACTACTTTTCATCTTTATATCCTCCTCACTAGTTCAATTCACAGTCACTAGTTCCGTGTACATTACTAGTTCAATGCAGATATATAATAAAAAAGGAGAGGAGAGGTTAATGAATAAGGTATGGGCCAATGAAAGAACAAGAAAATCAACTGGACTTTGAGTATAGAAAAACAAATACCAGATCTTAAGAAAGTACAGGCATCTGTAGTACAGACATCTGTTACTGTAGTACAGACATCCATTACTAAGTCCTAACCATTAAAAAAAATAGAAAAATATGGTTATTCAGGTAGTATGAAGATGACAAAAAAAAAAACTTGTTATTGGACTAAGTAGACATCACGAAGGTAAAAGTTTCCAGTGGAACAGTTGACAAAGATCAACAGAGAAGCCAGAGAAAAAGATGGTTGTTTCTAGGAACCAAGTAATTCATTGACCTAAATTCATGGACTGATCAAGACTGCCACCTTTCTCTCAGTTGGCAACCCCTCTCCTGTGTCATTATTCTGCATCATCCTTTCTGAGTCCCCACTACCAAATCCCCAATGCCATGGGTAGTTTCCCTCCAGTGGAGCCACAGGTCCAGGCCAATGGCTTAATCCGGATGCAAGGACAGGGGGTGGAAGGGTATCTTTGTTCTTATGTCGAGGACTTTGAGGAAAAATGAAACAACTATTTACTGAGAATTTATTTTATGACAGATACTGTGCTACATTATACTCACTGACTGAATTTCACAGTAATCATGAGTAATTGTCCCATTTACACATGAGGAATTTACGTCCAAGGTCAACAGCTAAGCAAGGACAGGGCCCGCCTGAAAACCTAAGAATGACAACCTCCAGAGCTTTTTCTATACCCTCACTACCTCAAAATGGCGGGAGACGTGGTCCAACCATTCTAGGTTGGCACTCAGAAGACATTTGCCTCCAAAACACTATTACATATGTCGATTAGAGTCTACAGTACCACTAATATATAATAGGCTCACAATAAGTTTAAAAAGCTTTCCTTACTACCATGTGAAAGTAAGTACCATATTTCCTGGGGTCCGGACCTGGAAATCTAAATGCTATTTATTCCTATCAGTACACTGTTCACTTTACAAACAATAGACTTGAAAATGAGCTTGTGGAATACAATGGGTTCTTAAGTAAGGCTCTGCTTTAAGAATATTTTCTTGCTTCCACAAAAAATATAAAAGCCACCAAGGATAGAATGATTTTGCCTTGTTAACTTGTAAGAACAATGACACTAGAAGAAACCTGTGGGAAATATGCTTATCTGACCAGGTGCTCATTTTTGGTGGGCTGTCATTTGAGTAAAACATCATACTAAACCCCACAGACCATAGCTTACGATAGAAATGTCACAAACTATAGCAGTACAGTTGATATGCCTATAATCTACTGACAAAACGTACTCCTCAGTAAAGTAAAACCAGATGTCTGGTGTGAAATCAGATGTCTGTGAACTTGTCTTTCTCAGTTTTCAGAGCAGTATTAGATACGCTGAATACTCAGCTAAGCTGTATATTAAATCCACAACTTGGCAAAATCATGACAGTTTGGACATGAAGCATCAGCATTTTTATTGTAATTCTTATAAACCAAAGACATTTCTGAAATAGAAATCCTAAGTTTAAGTACTCAGCTAAATACAGTAGTATGTCTTTCTCACTTTAAGAACACTGTCAGGGCTTTTTAAACACATTATAGAAATTCTTTCCCTTCATTTTTCAAGCTGACACACTTTATCCAGGGCTGTGGAATGATCTGATAAGGTCACATCAGGTGTCAGTCCCTGTCCCAGAAATTCTAGGATCAGATACACCAGGTGATCCCCTGTGAAAAGCAAATCCCAGGGAGGCTTAACAGCTACAGGAAAGTTAGGTACTACATGGCTTTCCACAATCAAAGGGAAGATCATAGGAAAGTAATGGGTGACCACATAGAAAAACAGGGAGGGAAATTTAAAAGTACTTACGTGCCAGGCACTGTTTTTTCACACATTCTTTTATATATACTCTTTGTTCTGTTTTGATGGATAAGAAATCATGCAGCAGGGAAGTTTTAATGGCCCAAAGTGACACAGCTAATAAAATAAGAGCCAGAAATCAAACTTATGTCCAAAAGACTATAAAAGTCATGCTACTTCTACATGAAAGTTTCGGGTGGAGTGAGGAGGGGTGGTAAATAGCCACGAAGAAGGAGAAAAAGGAAGAAATTTATAATTTTACCAAATAACAGTGAAATAGATATATATATATATAAACATGTATCATGTCCCACATATGTTCCATATATAATACATAGTTAAGATGTATGCATTTTTAACATATACTTAAGTTGCATATTTAAGTATGTGTATATATGAAACAAAAAGCTGAAGAAATAAATATCAAATTGTTAAATGGTCATCTGAGAGTAGGCTCATAGGAAACTCACATTTTGCCTTTTACATCCCTCCCAGATTTAATTCTAAATAACTTTTTTTGACTTTATATTACTCTTATAACCAGAAAAAGCCAAAGAACTATTCTAGTTTAGATTTTTTAAATGAGGCTAAATGCACAGAAACCCACGCAAGTTAATGGTCTACTTTCGTATTTGTTTTTCTAAGTACATCATCATTTACACTCTCCATGATTCCTAATATTAGGTCCTTCTTATGGAACAACTACAAAAGTTATCCTCATCTAATTATTATACTTGTACACTGGAAAACTACTGTAACATTATTCAGTATAGGACACAAATCGCCAAGGTCAGTCATCCTTGTAAGTTTATTACTGAAAGTACTAGAAAGGTGTAATAATAATTATATTCTTCACAACACTGTACAGACCTGCAAACCACTATGATGAGTAGTAGAGGGAAAGTCTTGTACATTAACATGTAACGATTCAGAAAATCCACAAAACTGGTGGAAGGCCTGCCCCAAAACAGCCATCTCCAATACGATCTCATCATTCTCACCATCCTACTTTTATCGAAGTGCTGATAAAAGTGCTCAGCACATGGTAAAAAAGAGAGAATTAGCTATTGAATCAATGAAGGAACCCATTATCAATAAACAATCACTTCCTGGTTTTCCATAAAGTGAATTATGTGGTCACCTATCACTTGAGCACAAACAGGCACGTTCAGGATACAGGCAGCCAGTATCAGAACAGGCAGCCGATCACAGAGGGCAATTCTACTTATCCTGTGTAAGAATCCAAGAATGTGGTTTACTACATTCCTGCTTGTATCTAATCTGAATTTCAACTAATTTAAAACAGTTATTTATATGTGACATACAGGATGCATAAGGAGTTCCCAACCTTGTGAGAGGAGGTGTGTTTCATTTCATCATACAGGGGAGAGGGAAGCAGTGTATTAAAGAAGTGACAGAAAAGTCCTACAGAAGAACCAATGAAATAGACCACACTGAAAATCACAGTAGGCCTCAGAAGACTTCAGTGTCCTTTTTGGCAACTTTTCAAAAGTGAATGGAATGCTTGCAAGGAGGTACCAAGAGTGAAAGTCCAGAGAAAAAGGCCCAGCCTGGTCATCTCTCTCCCCTCAAAACATCTTCTTCTGTAAGCTTGAGAGAAAATTCCAAAGAACTTCAACATTAGTAACCTTGTTACTAACTTTACGCCTCAGGGTCCTAAAGGATTTTTTCAGGAGTCCCCTTTTAAAATGTAAACATCCCTAGAGGGGGTTACTGTTCATTATCAAACAGGACCTGGATTCTTTAGTGCTACGGTCTCAGGGATTAGTCAAAGCTGGCTAATAAGATAGGGGCCGGAGACAGACAACTAGAGAGGACCACTGTTGCAAGGTAAAAACAGGTAAAGGGGAAGGGCAGTTTTCTGTCGGGTCAAGCGGCTAAAAGGGATCCATATGCCCAAGCTGTTAAACTCCCAGGCAACTTTATAGACTGTGTGAGCCTGAAAACAGCCCGGGGCTTGGGGCCTGTGACTTTGAAGGTGGGTCCTCCAGTTCCCGATGAAAAGGTAGAATCTGGGCCCATGTTCCCCAGGAGTAGTTCTGGATCTAGCCCTTCTCTCTCTCGCTCTCAGGACAGTCCTAGCTCCTTCCACCCCTGACCATTCCTTACTTACCCTTTCTCCCGCTCTTCCTCGGTGAGAAGGGGTAAGTGGTTATTTTGTGCCCTCGCCCAATTTGGCCAAAACCCTAAAAGTAAAAAGCGACAGACAGACACGTGCTTTAAAATCCTGTTGTTCAAGCCTGAGGCTCTCCCACCACCTGCCCAACACTTCCAGGCAGAAGGCAGCGCGTCCCCACAGCGCTCCCTCAGGGCCAGGGCCGGGGACCGGACTAGTGCCCTTTGTGAGGAATGGGAGAGGGCGCGTTCTGGGGGCTCGGCGGGGAGGAGTGGGCCGGCTCCATGCCAGGTGTGCCGCCTCTGGCGCCGGTTTCCCACCTTAGTTAGCTAGTGGCACCAGGAAGAGGACTAGGCAGGGGTGGCCGCCGCACGCGCCTCACATAAACACGCGCACGCACACATGCTCGCGATCACGCAGGACTCGCGGCCGCGCACCCCTCCGCCCCAGCAACGCTCGCCCCACCGGGGCCGGGGCCGACTCCCAGGGAAGGGTCCCCAGCCCAGGAGACCACCCAGGGTCGGCGGCTGCGCGCCTGCCCACCCCCGCCAGCCTCACAGCCCCCCGCCCGCCGCCGGACGCCGGGCGCCCGCCCTCCGCACCCGCTGCGCAGCTCAGCCCAGGGGAAGTCCCCGCGCAGACCCCGCCCTCCGCCGGCGGCAAGCTCCGCCCCGCTCCTCCGGCGCGCGGTGCCCTTCCGAAGCTCCGCCCCCGGTGGAGAACTGGTCTCTGGACCGCCCGCCCAGGTCTGGCTCAAAATGCGGCGTGGATCTAAAAAGATCAGAAACGACACTAATTCAGCAAGGAATTATTGAGCACTTGCTCTAACCTCAGTAACATACTAACGGGGGAGAGGACAGTAAAGAGCTGAAAAGGCTGTGAAACTGTGTTTTCAGCTCCTCCTCTTGTTTTGTAAGTCAGGAAAGAGAGAATCCTCACAGTTGCTTAAGTACAGGGCAGCAGTGGCAAAGCACCTCACGAACGATCTTTGGGCAACTCCTCATCGCATTTTTTCCTACTCAGGTGCACTCAGGAAACTATTCAGTTTTGCTGCCTCCAGGTAAACCAAAGTGAGTAATACAGGACAGGCGGTTTACTTGAGAGAAACTGGAATTTCATACTGAAGCTTTTGCCCTCAAATGGGTCAAACTCCTTTTTTTTTTTTGAGACGGAATCTTGCTCTGTCGCCCAGGCTGGAGTGCAGTGGCGCGATCTCGGCTCCGCCTTCCGGGTTCACGCCATTCTCCTGCCTCAGCCTCCTAGTAGCTGGGACTACAGGCCCCCGCCACCACGCCCAGCTATTTGGGTTTTTGTTTGTTTGTTTGTTTGTTTGTTTGTTTTTTGTATTTTTAGTAAAGACGAGGTTTCACTGTGTTAGCCAAGATGGTCTTGATCTCATGACTTCGTGATCTGCCCGCCTCGGCCTCCCAAAGTGCTGGGATTACATGTGTGAGCCACCTCGCCTGGCCAAATGGTACAAACTCTTAACTGGGTTATTACAACCTACAAAGAAACCTTCTTATCCATGTTATTAATTATCCTAATTCAATGTGGCTTCAAATGTTGATGAAAGTACCCAAATCATGGTGCTCCAACAAGCTGGATGCCAACCAGGTACTCGTAAGTACTTGCAATTACAGGTGCGATATTTTCATTCCTTATCATCCCAAGATGCCCTTCCTTCATGTGAAGCAGCTGGAAAGATTAACTACCAGATTCCCTATGATTGAGGAATTGATAAATAGAAAGGGAAGACCGAAACCAACCGAATTTTCCGATCGAAGTGAAACTTGAGAAACTTGCATGTATTTTACCTGAGTTCCTTTCTCAGGAGATACACTGTCAGACCTCCCAGATAGTGTCAAGGAACTGAAACTTTCCAGAACACTACATCTGGACAATGAGGTACATCTGCTGCCTGTTCACAAACTCCTCTTCCTTACCCCGCCATAATTCCCTGCTATAGAAAGTCCTAACTTTAGTCTCCCTAAGACAGGTTTGAGACTGGTCTCCCTGCCAGCATCACCTGCATTAAAGCCTGTCTTCCCTGGCAATACTCGTTGTCTCAGGGATTGGTTTTCTTTGCTAGGAGCAACCCAACCTAGGCTGAAGCCCAGGCATTCAGCAGCAGTGGCACCTAGAAGTACTGAACAGACATAAAATACTTTTTTTCTCCTTTTCTTACTCCTCCAGTTATATCTTCATTATTTCTGTCTCTGTTCTCCTTCTAGATGCTGCCAAACTACTCTGTGCACTTTCAGATCACTTAATACTAATGTAAATAACAGACATTCTGGCATTCTTGGTTCAAAATTTATTCTAAAGGTTTAAGAATCTACTCAGAGTCTTAAATGACCTGATAACTAAAATTCCAAGAGTCTCCTGAAGCGAGCAAAATTGCTCTCCTGTGAAAGGGATATGTGCCAGTTTTTCTTACTTGCCAGAGAAATAATTACTGTAAGGTAAGCTTTTCTCTGCCAGTGCTTAAGGACTTAATTGCAAAAGCACTTAGGTGAGGGGACCACCCTCATCAAATAGCAGTCAAGAACTATTTGGTACCATGACCCCAAATTAAATGGAGCTCCTGGTCACTAGGAACTGACAGTCTGGGATGGAATGTAGGTGAATAAAGAACAAATACAGGTGTTTATGGCCTTTATTGTATTGGGAAGTAAATAAACATACAAAAAGAGTTGCTAGGTCTGGCCTGATTTTGTCAAGAAGATTCATCAAGTGTACTTAAAAAGAAGCTAATATCTGGAAGAGGCAGACCTATGGTGTATTAGTCAGGGTTCCCTAGAGGGACAGAACTAATAGGAGAGATATATAAATATAAAGGGGAGTTTACTAAGCATTAACTTACACAATGACAAAGCCCCACAGTAGGCTGTCTGCAAGCTTGAGGAGCAAGACAGCCAGTCCGAGTCTCAAAATTGAAGAACTTTGAGTCCGATGTTTGAGGGCAGTAAGTGTCCAGCACACGAGAGAGCTGTAGGCTGGGAGACTAGGCCAGTCTCTCCTTTTCATGTTTTTCTGCCTTCTTTATATTCACTGGCAGCTGATTAGATGGTGCCCACCCAATTAAGGGTGGGTCTGCCTTTCCCAGTCCACTGACTCAAATGTTAATCTCCTTGGCCACACCCTCACAGACACACCCAGGATCAATACTTTGTATCCTTCAATACAATCAAGCTGACACTCAGTATTAACCATCACATATGGAGAGAGTAAAAAGATCAGTGATTGCCAGAGATCAGAGAGGAGGGGACATGAAGCACAGATTTTTAGGGCAGTAAAACTATTCTGTATGATATGATAATGGTGATACATTCATTATACATCTGTCCAAACCCATAAAATATACAACCCAAAGAGGGAGCCTTAATATAAAATCTCAACTTTGGGTGATAATGATGTCAATGTAAGTTCATCAGTTGTAACAAATATACTGCTCTGGTATAGGATATTCATAGTCAGGGAGGCTGTGCAGATGTGGGGTACAGGAATATACTGGAACTCTATACTTCCTGCTCAATTTTGCTCTGAACCTAAAACTGATCTTTGGGAGAAAAATAGTTTATGAGAAAAAGAAGCAGCAGTTAGAGCATCCTATTTTATTCTAATTTATCAATTAAATTCTAAGCTGAATATTTAGCTTTGTGTATCTAGTTCAAATATATTTGCTTTGTCTCCTCATATATTAAAGCAGACCTCTATTTGTTGTTAATACCATCAGGGGAAAATGAATCATGTAGTCCTAACTAAGGTACAAATTTAAATTATAGTTAGGCATCAAATCTAAGATTCAAGGAGATAGTTAAACAAATTAAAATAATTAAGTTTACAAATTCCATAAATGCAGATATTAAAATCTATTCCTATCTATACATACTTACCATTAGTAAGCAAATAATAGAAGTATCATAGAGTAGCAGTTCTCAAACTTCTTTTTGATCTCAAGTTCTCTTTACATTCTTAAAAATGATTGAGAACTTTGAAGAGCTGTTGTTTATGTGGGTTATATATGTCCATATTTACTGTATTAAAATTTAAGATAGAAATATGTTAGACACGTGTCTGTTTAATTTAAACCCATTACATGTTAGAACTGTAAACGTTATTTTTATAAATAATGACTACATTTTTTCCCAAAAAATTAGAGGAAAGTGGCATTTTTAACATTTTATAAATCTCTTTATTATCCGGCTTAATGGAGAACACTGGATTCTCATATTCTGCCTCTGCATTCAGGCTGTTGTGATATGTTGTTATACCTAAGATATGAAGAAAATTAACTGTCATACAGATTCATAGTTGAAAAAGGGAGGACCTTACAAAGCTCCTGGAAGGGTTTCAGTAACCCCTATGGGTTCTCAAACCTCACTTGGAGAATTACTGCCAAATGGCATTTTGCATTTCATTTGTTTGAATGTCATGTATTTCCACACAGGCGTCTGTTAACACCTGAAATTATAGCCCTTTACTTATTTCAAGCTATAACTCATATTTGTCAGCTCATATCAAATCATGACATTTCAAAAAAGTTTTTCAAAGCTTTTACTATATAGCAACTCTGATGAAATTGATATTATTATTTGAATTCATATGAAAACATTTGAGATTTCATTTATATCCTTCATCTCAAACTTTTTGGAAAATTTTGAATATAAATTGTACCATCTGGAAAAAATGTAATATTGGTATATAGTTATTAATCCAGTTTTAGGTACACTTATAACAAGGTATATCCCCTTTTATAAAAATAATTTAAAAGTAAGCTTAAAACAAAGACAGAATAAGCAATTATAGTTTTATTTATTAACTAAATAAATATTTGATTCTAAACTTACTACCTTGGCATGAAATTTTAAATATATAACCTTTCATTTTTATTACAAATAAAAATAATGTAAATCATCCAGTTTGGGGTTTTTTAGTACAATTTCCAACTAAAAGAAACTAGAGCTGACTAGTGGAATCTCTGACTTCAGATCTGGGCCAGGTTATACACAAGATGAGCATAGGATAACTTGTGCCACAAAGCCAGGAATCCATTAACAAAAAAACGTGTCAAAGGGACACAGAAACCAGCATCAAATAGCTCCTTTGGCCAAAGATGGACAATTTAAGCATCAAAAAAAGTAATGGATGCAGTTGTTTGAAACATACTGAACATATAAAAATTCATGAGTTCTTAATGATGTTCCAAAAAGGAGAGATCAATAAAAGGAAAAAAAAAAATCCACTGGACACTATTGCAAGTAGCTAGCACTAAGCCCTTGTTCTAAAATTGTCCATTAAAAGAAAATAATTCAAATTTTCTCATTTATCTTTCCCGATTAAACTATATATCAGAAAACCAAATTGTTGTTGAGGGAAAGTAGTTTTTTATAATAAATATGAAACAACAGAATTGGAAACCCACCATTTAGCAACCTTGCATTTAATAAATGATTCAGGCAACCATCATCAATGGATCAAACTAACAGACGAAATGTTCATGAGGAACTTCACAATGGTGATCAGACGATCACTACCTCAGCCTAATAATCTGTCATTACAAGTGGAACTCCAGATATTGTGTGCTTCCTGACCTAATGTCATCTGAAGCACTCAACACAAGTATGAAATGTTATCACCCCAAAAACATGAATGGGATCTAATCAAGCCTTAAAACTGACTTCTCAC